TACGGAGAAAATGTGAGTGAATCAAAAATGAGATTTTCAGCACATGTAAGACATGTAAGTGATAATATTCAGGAAACAGGATGGTCTGACTTTGAAGATGAATGACTGAGTTTGGTGACAGAAGTTCACACACACATTCTGGAGACGTTTGCAAGTTACTTGATTTAGACTCGGAAATCGTATTTGGTAATAGTTGAATCAGACCCAGAAAATGAGTTAATGGGTTGTTCATACATGCCGATCCCTGTGCTTTCTTTGAATGCACAGAACGTGAGTGAGGAAGCAAGCAGCCCTGTTAGGGGTAGTTTCATGGAAATAGAAACGTGTCGCAGGGCGAGATCATATCTCCTTCCCTCATGGTGTTCCCATAACCTAGAATGGTGATATTTATGAAATACGTATTGACCTGCTTGTAGGTTTTGGTCCTAGATGTGACCATGGTAGGTCCTCTTGTCCACATAGTTCTTCTAGAAATATCCATATCTTACTTCTAATCCTATTTTCAGGCTCTATACTATTGAGTGTCTCTCTAGCCAGCCAGTTTTGACTGGACCCTAGAGAAGCCACTCTTTCTCTGTCCTGGGTTTAGTCTGGGTTGCACAGATCCTGTCACTGTAAACTCCAGGTCCTTCCACTGTGGCTCAGATGTGTTCCTGACCCCTTCAGCTTCAGCAAAAGAATGGAAGTAGGGTGGGCAGGTGAGGTCGTTGTTGCTCTGAGGCTATTGTGGGGCATAAAACCACCTTGAAGAACACCTTGCCTCCTCAGCATTTTTATCTTCCTTTCCAATTACTTTGTTTACACCTAAGCTTCATGGTTCAACATGGCGGACTTATATGGGATCTGATTTTCAGAACTGAAAGCAAGTGCAGAGCTCAATGGGCGATGAGCTGTAACATTTGACCAAAGATTATTGATAGAGTGTAACCTTGCTCCCCTAGGAGAGAATACCAGAATATAAATATATGCAAGTAATATGCTAATTGGCTGATGGTTAGCATTGAGTGAATCTTAGTAGGGACCGACAGAGGTGTGTGCATGTGTGCACGCGTGTGCACATATGTGTGTGTATGTATGTGTCTGTATGTTGTGTAAGCCCATTCACAAAGCGGACATTGTTCCTCTAGGTAACACATTCACTGGGCTACCTCATGGGCGAGCTCTGTGTTCGAGGACAAAAGATGGACCACACCCCACTCAGAGACTGGAAAAGTTGGTGTGTTCCCCAAAGCAAAAGGGAGGGACCCCAGTGATACCTATAGGTTGCACACAGTTTCAGGACTGGCTGTCTTAGGTTTTCATAGTAAACAGCACAGGAGGCTTATTGTACAAGGTCATTAACTTGGGCGAGGACCAGGGTCTGCTGTTCTTGTCCTGATGCTTTATGACATCAGATGAAAGTGACTCTTCAAAGTGCCTCTTGGCATCAGATCTCTCCGTGACTCTCAGACTTTCCCTGTAGCTGAGAGCAGCACGGAGTAGGGCTGCTTCGAGCTCCTTCATTCTTGTTACCTTTTTGGGGGGACTGGAGTTTGTGTTTTTGAAGATACATCCCCAAAGCGCTCTGTCCTCTAACGTATTTGTCACAGCCTGGAAAGGAGACGCCTTGAGCTCCCAGAAGACGTGATTTTATTCCTTGTTGGTTCAAAATACCAAAATAAGTTTAGTCTGGGCTGTTCTTAATGAAACACATCTTTTAACGTGAAACAGTCTCCGTTGGAGGGATGCACGCTTTGGGGAGAAATGCATGGCGACTTTTATTTTGAGCCATTTATATTCTGATATGCTTGCATGGTTTCTGCCTTGTCTTAATTACAATCTCAGGCAGAGTGACTGCCCTGTAGAGAATCATCCTAAAATACCCAATCAAGTTATAAATCACATCGAAATGCCAGTCTGAAATATTCCTCTCTGTGCAACTTTGGCAGAGAAACCATGCTGGAAAGCCCTTCTTCACGTTACAATCATATATCTTCAATGAAATTATGAAAAAAATTATCACTTTTTTTCCATTAAATTCTTTTATTCAGCTAATAATCAGACTTTTAATAATATTTAAATTTAATTTAATAATTTTAAATAATATTGATATAATTTTACTATAACTTTAAATTAATATAATATAAATTAATATAATTCAATAAATAAATATAATTAAATATAATATAAATGAATATAACTTAAAATAATATTGATTTAATAATATTAAAATTGTAATAATTAGAATTTTTCTAATTTTAGAAAAAAAATTAGAATTTTTCTAATAATTAGAATTTTTAAAAAATTATTTATGTCTTGTAATGCCAAGACTTTTAAAGTTGACAAATACTTGGACGTGTGACCCCCCCACACACACATAACACATGCACACATATCGTAATCTTTTGTTGCACGCACAGACCCTTAATCAGATGCATGGCCACTAGATTCCATATTGGATGACTTACACATCTGTTTCTTCCTCTGGGATGGTCATTTAGTGGTCTACAGGGTCAGCAGGTTTGAGGTTCAGAAACCGTGGGTTTCTGATTGTAATGACTTGTGCAAATCAGCCAAATTTCAAAAAAGCAAGGAAATGAGTAAGATAGCCCCAAATGTATGCACATTATCTAGAAAGTGCTCACATCTCCCAGGTGCCTACTCTTGGGTCCTGCTGGTCCATGATCTCTTTCCAGCCCTCAGTACCCTCTTGGTGGGTGGGGGATAGATTTGGGCAGTAGAAAGACTTGATCCTTGGACTCAGCGTAAAGTCTAAGCGTGACCCCGCTTATGCACCTGTCATGTGTCTGTGGCTCATGGATACTCTCATCCACGTTAACTTGGAGAAGAGTTGAGTGGGCGATAATTTCCCAACAGAACTCAGTTTCTAAGTCCTGACATAAACCCCCCAACCGAGTCCCACATTTACCGAGCTATGCCTTCCAGGGACGGTGTGCCGCCTCGTGCGCACGATCTCACTTCACTCTCACCTGCAAACAGATCAGGAAAGGGAGGCTCAAAGATTCTAAATTCTTTGTTCTGCACTTGCTCAGCCCCGTGACCCTGGGCTGACTTTGGAGCCTGTGCGTTTTGTTTCTGTAGGCAGGACTCTTTCAAGGACGTCCCCGGTTAGGGTCCTACCATTTCGTGTTTATTGAGTGGGTGTTTTTCTCTGCCCTACACCTTTGCATAGTGCACACCCCAGGAAGAAACTATGATACACCATTTACCTGAATCACAGGCAGCTTGGCTCACTTCCTTCAGCTCACAGACGTAGCGTTTGGGGACCTGAGTCCATCAGAATCCCAAATTCATGGCGTCTCCTTTTATCGCCCGGAAGGCTCCAGGAAGAACAGCGAATGCTGGTTCCAAAGCAGAAGGGCTTTCAGGAAAACAAAAGATTCCAAACATGTCATCACCTTCTTCTTGTTCTTGTCTGCCTCCTAATTATTCAGAAATTGGATCACGGTGTGGCAGAAATCCAAGTGTTGTGCACGGCAGCATTCAAAGATAGAAGGGAACACATACAACCGCCGTTGGGTGAGATGCTTTTTTTTCACTGTCATTGGTAAAACCCAGACTCGGATTGCATTTTCATTCAGCTCTGATGAACTTGGCCCAGGATGTCAGGGACTAAGGAATTCCCCCCCCCACCCCCAGATGTGGCAGAGCTCTATGACCCATCCAGCTCCATTTAAAAAACAACAAAAAAAATGAGCTTATTGACGTATTACTCAATAAGGGCTCATCTATCCATTTAAATGTATAATTATACCCTCGTCTAGAAACACTCAGAATCCCCCACAACATCTTCCCAAGCATGGTTATCTGTTTTTGGAGTTGAGGAATGCTCTCTTTCAAGCTATACTGCTTGCTACACATAATGTGATGTTTTGTATTGCTAATGGGTCATTTACCATACTTTGCCACTCAGGCACAACCTTCTTTACTGTCCTCAGAGGAATGACTTCTCTAGTGACAGTCCTAGGATCTACATCCTGACAAGTCTGGGAGATCACACTCAGTGGGAGGGTAGCTCCAACGTACCACCAGACTTTAAAATGGGCTGCTTGGGGCATCTGGGTGGTTCATTCGGTTGAGCGTCTGCCTTTAGCTCAGGTCATGATCCCGGAGTCCTGGGATCGAGCCCCACGTTGGGCTCTCTGCTCAATTGTGGACCTGCCTCTCCCTCTGCCTTTTCGCTCTCCCTCTCTCTCAAATAAATAAATAAAACCTTAAAAAATTTAAATGGGCTGCAAAAACAAGTAAACAAAAATATAAACGAAATGGGCTGAGAGCTGAAAGGTTTACTGTAGATGGCTTAGGTGGAAATCAGGACTGCTGTCTGGACAACTTTACCTGGGAATGATGTTCTTGTAGGAAATACTACATCTTGTGCGATCTTCCGTCCTGCTCAGTTTTTATGAGGAGGGGGCACTTAAGGGTGATGATCTGTGTAGCCTAATGGTGTATGCCACAGAATAACCCCAAAAGGATTAGAATCCAGAGCCTACACTCTCTTGCTCCCTTGCATATCTGACGATTATCTACATGTCATAAAGCCAGTTTGGTCCGGTCCCACACGGCTCCTCCTCTCTACTGAACAATATTGCTAGGCTCCATGCCTATATCCCCTTAGGGAGAAGTGGCAGTTTCCTTAGACATCTGAGAAACACTGTTTCGGGGGTACCCATCCCCTGACTGGCTAGTCTTTGCAAAGAGTGAAACTGGGAGCCGTCACTACAGTCATCTGAACAACAGGTATAACTTCTGGGGATCTGTTTGTTAACGGTGACTTGTTGAACGTTTCTAAACATCATGCATCGTTCCAGGTAATGGGGTGCCCGGTGAGAATGAAGGCAAGTCCTGTTCTACTAGATTCTTCTCTGTGGAGACATGGGTGGACAGATTCATCCTGAATGAGAATTTCATTGAACGATATTGAGCGCTGCACAGAAGAGATGTGGGTAGCATGCCTTCCCTTGGCTTTATTATTCTCACCGGCTTTCTTTCCCCATTAGGAGGACTGCTCTGCCTTGGAGTTTTCCTAAGGAATCCTTGGGACGTGTTGGATGGTCCCCGCGTCTTCGATCCTCACACCTGCTGGAATTCCCTCCCCGGATTAAGAGAGTGCTGCTCGCTCCCGCAATGGGCTCCCAAGAAAACAGCTGGGTGCGTCCTTAACTTCGGGCTCTGTCTATGACCCACCGCCGGGGCTCCTCTCCTGGGTCTTTTGCTCCCTGGAAAGCCCTCTCTGTCTGCAGGCTTGCTTCCCGGCTTTGCTTGCTTGGAATCGTGTCACACACAGCCCCGCGGATGTGGCAGTGAACAATGTCGAGACCCAAGGGACTGTTATGGGTGCCGCTGTTCTTCACGCCGGTCTGCGTCATGCTGAACTCCAATGTTCTCCTGTGGATAACGGCTCTTGTCATCCGCTTCACGCTCATCGACAGCCAAGCCCAGTACCCGGTTGTCAACACAAATTATGGCAAAATCCGGGGCCTAAGAACACCATTGCCCAATGAGATTCTGGGTCCAGTGGAACAGTACTTGGGGGTCCCCTATGCCTCGCCCCCCACCGGAGAGAGGCGGTTTCAGCCCCCGGAGCCCCCTTCTTCATGGACTGGAGTTCGGAACGCCACCCAGTTTGCGGCTGTGTGCCCCCAGCATCTCGATGAGAGATCCTTATTGCACGATATGCTGCCCATCTGGTTTACTGCGAATCTGGATACTTTAATGACCTACGTGCAAGATCAGAATGAGGACTGCCTTTACTTAAACATCTACGTGCCCACGGAAGATGGTAAGTACATCCTTCAAACACTCGGAGGTCAGATCGGCCAGCAGGCTTTTAGAATGTCCTGTGTGGGATTCATCTTCTCTAACCCAGTTGTTCTTTCTTCGTATTCTGAATGCCACTGTTGCCCTAACGTATAAATTATGACACTCGTATTTATTGGGCATCTAGGAAATGGACAGTGCTATAGTTAATGACTTAATTACTATCATGCGTTGCCTTTTCAGCGTGTTACAGTGTTTCTTTCTAGTTGATCACCTGTGTCCGCATAAAGAGTTACATCGTCTGTAAAGAAAGATGAAATCTATAGAAAAATCTAGAGAAAAAAATAGAATTAAAAACATTGTTATGTCCAAGTTAGCAAACTGAAGGTTATGAAACAGGGTTTCTTTTGCTTTAATGACTTAAGATTTTAGCTTCCTTCCCTCTTTCCTGCCCATCCTTACTTTCTTCCTTCTTTCCTCCCTACTTCCCTTCCTTCCTACGTTCCTTCCTTCTCTTTTTTCCTTCCTTCCTTTTCTCTTTTCCTTCCTTCCTTCCTTCCTTCCTTCTGTTTTCCTTCCTTCCTTGCTTCCTTCTCTCTTTCTTTCCCTCCCTCCCTCCTTTGAGTCTTCAAAGGAAAACCACTCATTGTCTTAACTACACAGGCAAAGCACATTTCATAAAACGGATGGCTTTCATTGTGTAGAATCTGTGTTATTAACATCAATGTGCACCTTGTTTCCTTCCAATATTCACAGCGATCTGTGGCAAATGGGTGTCCTTAGATAATACTGGCTATATTTGGAAATAATGTGCTTGCTTGAACAAAATGGCTCCTTTGTTTTCAATAACACAGCAGTGAAAATTTGTAAAAAAAAAAAAAAACAAAAACAACAGAAAACAAAACAATGATGTCTGACTTATCAATTTCATGCAATGGTAGTAACATTCAATAATCTCTTCTGTGTAGGTTTCAAATTAAGAACATTTTTTAGAAAGGCTAACCAGACTAAAGTAGTACTGTAATGTAAACACATTTCTCATTTACCATTTGCACATGCTATTTTTAGGCAAGGAGAGAGAGAAGCCTGGAAAGTAAATCTTTCTGGAATTAAAAGCAGGGATTTACAGGAATCATGGAACTCATCTACTGTAGAAACCACACTGTGTCCTTTGTCACTTCTAGGGGAGAAATTCCATTTTTCTTTTCCTCGAGTCCTTGGAGAATGATTTTCCATTAAGATTTGTCTGGAGGTCTGAAAGAAGGGATTGCATGCCCCATGATTTCCCTGAGTTGCAATGACACCACCATATTGTGTTTTCCTGCATGTAAATGGTCCAAGGTAGCTCGCATAGGGAATCTTGAAACACAAGGCCAGGGCTGAGTTACTGGGATCTCAGAGGATGCACAGAGAAAGAAATGGGAAGCTGGGGCTTTATGATGTGAGTAATCTCTGGAGGGGGGTGGCCCTCGTCATGATGCTAAGAGATCACCCCATTACCTTGTAGGTCTAGGTCTGAGTGCAATGCCCAGGGGTTAGAGGGACCCACGGGTGCCCTCTTGGCACACCATGGGCTGAGTCACATTAGTGGCTGCTTCATGCACAAGTGTGGACAAGGCTCAGTGCGCCCAAACCCAGCGAGACGTGTCCCTGCAGAAGCTGTCTGGGTTGTGGTCTTTCTCGTCATCAACCCTGGTATCTGGGAGTCGCCGATGGGACACGCTCCCCTCCTGGCACCCCTGGCGCTCCTCAGCATGCTTTCCCGCAGAGGCTGGGCTGAAGGAGACCACCCTTGGGGACAAAACTCAATAACCTCCCTGATTACAGAACCAGTGTGGGTGGGCAAGCCTGTGGCTCCAAACCATAAACAGTGTGGCCTTTTCCTTGTGGTTCCATCTTAAATAGGAATTTGGGAACATAAAGAGAGGGAAAGGGTGATCCCATGGAAAAGCCATGGAACGTTAAGGAAAAAACCCCGGGGCCACCTGTTTACATTTCAGGTTTTTCAGAGCGTCTTTGCCTACAGTGTCTCGCACGATCATGACAAGAGAATCAGAAACCCAGGTAGAATCTATTTTCCTATAAATCGGCGTTTTGCTGGTGAGTGAAGGTACGTGCCTCATGTTTGTACAAACAACACATCACAGCCTGTTGTTACGAGTTTTCTGGCTTCTTTTCATCCTTTTTTTTTTTTTTTAACATTTGCATCCATTTGAGAATCAATATGGAGCTTTAGATATTTAATTATCGGGAAAAAATTATTGGTTATTCACTTACTGAATAAAACTCCCCATCCTTCATAACCCACTGAAATCACGGCATCATGCCGATTTCTCCAAACACCTCCGTTTGTGGGCTCTCTTAATTCATATCCATGCATTTACTTAACAGTGTAGACCACCGTGTTTCAGATTTGGAATTGAGAATTCTGTTCTGACACGTCAGGATTTTAGATCTTTCTTCGGCACAACTTGATCAGGCACAATGAGATGTCGTTGCCAAGAAGAGTGCCGAGTATCTACTATGTGCCAGGCATGGTGTAGACATCCACGAGGGCAGCAGACACAAGCATTCCTCCTTTGGGGAGACAGACACTTGGAGGTAGCATATGCACTGCTCCAAGGGGTGTCCAGCCTGATCCCTGGAACTGGTCACTCTGTGACCTTCTGTGGCAAAGGGGGAATGAATTTAGCTTGGCGCTGGAATTATATTTGCTCATGAGTTGACATGACCATCAAGGGAGCGGGTGTTGGATTAGCCGGGTGGGCCCAGTATTTAAGAACAAAGACCTTGGATTGTGGAACAGGGAGACCCAGAACTTCAGAGCTAGCGTGCCAACAATGTTATAAAGACACAACTAGTCTTCTGGACTTTAAGGATGGCATGGGGCCAAGAGGCAAGGACTGTGGGCAGCTTCTAGAAGCTAGAGAAGACCAGGAAATGGATTCTCCCGGGGGGGCCCCAGAAAGCTGCCCCATCACGCCTGCCATCTTGATTTCAGCCCCGTGCAACTCTGACCTACAAAACTGTAAAATAATACCCGTTCGCTGCTGTTGGATGCCCCCAACATTTGTGGCAGTGTGTTACACACCTATTTGAAAGGCACAGTCAAGTCTCTAATCGAAACCAAAGTCATCACTGAAAAATTGCTTTGTGGTGAGCCTTTGGAACCCATACCCATTCTGACACTCTTCTTTGCTTCCCTTTCAACCTCAAGTGTTACTAACAGAAAAACTCTCTTCTCTTAATGCTGGGTCTTTAAAACAGCAGCTTTCCCGCATGGGTACCAGGAAGACAATATGGGTCCCAGTCTGTGGGGTGACACTTTGCAGATTTGAGACCTTAAATCTATAGCACATACACCCAACATTTTTCCCTACTGGGTTATACAGTGTTACGGCAAATCCTACTAAATACGGTAATTTTACATAAGGATGTGCTAAAGGGACACTTAAATTTACCCAGGCACCTAAAAGAAATTTCCATGAATGACCTATAGCAAAACGTCTATGTTGTCCTCTCACATCCATTAAATGTCACTCACAATGGCAATTGTATCTCTAAATGGCTTCTTGTCCTACATACTCCTATGCTAGCAAAATATTTTGGGTTCCCCAGTCTTCTTCTCTAGACCTCAAGATCTGATGTATTCTGGCCAGAGTGATGCTTCTTGTTTTTTTCAATTCTTCATGCTCTTTAACGTAAAGTTGGTTCCCTCCTCCCTGCTCCTCTAGAGCTTAGAGGAACAGCTCTAAAACCATGCCTGCTTGGGTTAAAAATGCCATCTTGTCCCCTTAGCAGCTGAGGGACTGCAGGCCAGTCATTTGGCTTGTAGGTCACCCCCCCTCCCTTTTCCTTGTGTGTCTGAGATGCGCTGGGAGGGAGGTTAAGTCATTAATCCATATAACGTGATTTACCCCCATATCTTGCACATGTAACCTCTCTGTAGTCCGATGTTAGCAGAATGTAATCAGTTGTTAGAAAGGGAACGAGAAGGTATCAGCAAAATTGCTTGTGCATATGGGATCTCATATAAACATTAATCCCATGCATAGTACATGTTTCTTGCCTATAACATAATTATTTACTGTAATCGTGGAGGATTCAGCTTAAGGAACGGGAACAAGGGACCATCATTTCTGACAGCACTGAGTGTGGTTTTAATAAAAGAGAATGTAGAGAGAATATAGTTTTTTTTCTTTTTTTCCTAAGAGCAGAGAATTATTCTGCTCTGTTTTATTCCTAAGCTTTGTCTTTTTCAGCCACAGTTGTGAAATGAATTTCAGCATCCTATGTGAGTTACAGAAATTAATCATCAAGAAAGCTTTAAAATTCATTTCTTGGAAGAGTGTCTTAGAACATCCAAAGACAATAGTGTTCTCTCTCTCTCTCTCTCTCTCTTTTTTTTTTGGGGGGGGTTATGTGAGATAAAGGAGAAATTAGTTTCCTTTCTCTTCTCATCAAGTCCCAGATAGTCCAATTGTATGCAGATAGTGGCAGAATCCAGCTGAGAAAGGGAAACCTAAGTGAGTTACCACAGCGAGACAGACGTTTGAACCAATCCACATCAGCAGGCAACCGACGGGAAGACAGTTCGGTGATTGCCGTTTTCGTGTGTCACCTAGATGTGTGACGTTGTGTAGACATCGCTTGTAAGGGAAGAGAATTATGGAAGACGATTAAACAAATATCTACCCGACAGGGGTTCATTGAAAGGAATTTAGCATTTTGTGACGACAGTTTGACTGGAGTACGTTTCTGATCACAAGCGTCTCTCCCCCAGCTCGAAAGTTTTCGCCCATTTGAATGTAGAATCATACCCTTATGGAGCGTTGAGCAATCATGTATGTGAAGAAAATACTATTTGGGTAGTGTGAATTTTACATGTTTGGAAAATAGAGCCAAATCATTTCCCAAGAAGAGACCGATCCCTTATTTCCCATCAGATGAACTCTAACTCCATCCCATTTGCAACTTAGATGTTTCTCACCATTAGAACAAGTCTCAATTATGTACAATGTG